TGCTTGATTGGAGCAATCCCAAACATGCAGAATACAAGCTGGAAGATGAGAGGATTGAGAGTAGTCCCAAGGAGGAGGACTTGGGGTGTCGGTGGATGAAGAATTGGACATTCCCTGGCCATGTGCACTCACCGACCAGAAACTCCCTGTATCCTGGGCTCATTCCCACAGTGTGGGCAGCACAAGAGAGTGGGGGAATCTCACCCTCTGCTCTCCTGTACCAGAATTTGGTGTAGAACTCTGAGCCCCCAGTGACAAGGAAGACATGGTACCTGCTTTTTGGATCTGTAGATGGGCCTGGAAGATGATGATGGACAGAAGCAACTGCTGCCCAGCAAAAGTGAACACACCCGCCAGAGAGGCTTGTGCCAGAGGCAGGGATAGATCTGCCTTAGTGTAGGTCTGTGATCCAGTAGCTGAAAGATTTGTGGGATGCTCTGGAAGAGCAAGGTGTGCCAGTTGGTAGTAGAATGGGGAAATAAATCCTAAAAGAGCTCTTGGCGCACTTTTTAACCCACCCCAGTAGAGTGTGGAACCCCCCTGGCTTTGTGCTGAGTGAGACTGGAAGAGTCTTGGGATCAGAAAGAAGGAGGACTCATCTTAAAATGTAATGCAGGAAAACTTTATTGAGGTAGAAGACTGAAAGGCCATAAGCAGCAAGAGGATAGGAGGCAGGCTGAAGTGCAAGTAGGGTGATCATCAGATGAATCCTTTGCTTGGAGGTGGTTTTTCCAGATCATCAGTGCCTTTATGCCCCAGAGTGGGAGCATGATTTCTGGAGTGGTGCTGAGAGCCTTTAGCAGTTGTAGCCGCCCCTTCTGCCATAGCAGCCCAGGCCTCCCAGCCCATAGCCACAGCCCAGCCCGTAGCCAAATCCACGGCCATAGCCAAGGCCATAGCCAAATCCACCAAATCCACCAGAGATGGGCTGTCCCTGCACACTGAGTTCAGTGCCCACGGCAGCCGAGGAGGTGGATCCAACGGCGGTGTTCTGGGGGAAGGAGGTCATGATGGGTCCTGGCATGGTGACCAGCACAGGGGAAGGGTTGATGATGACGCGGGAATCCTGGCATTGCAGGGCACAGGGCTCGTTGCAGCTGTTGGCCAGTGGGGTGGGTCCACAGGGACGGCAGGAGTCGTAGCAGGCCATGGGTGTGGTGTGGAGGGTCCCTGGAAGAGAGGAGGTGAGGCAGGGCAGGGGTGAGAGATGCAGGGGTTGGTGATGCAGGAGGGTGAGGGAGTGTGGAGGCTGTTGTGGGGCTGTGGGGAGGTGTGAGGGCCTTTGAGGCTGAGGGTGCTGGCTGAGAGGGCCCAGGGGTGCAGGAGCAGAAGGGTCAGGGGAGTGAGGCTCACCTGGTTGTCAGCAGGAGCAGTAGGAGAAGGCGTCAGGTGAAGCCTGTGAGGGAGAGAGGCTCTGGGCCGGCTTTTATGTTGGTCCTGGAGGGGCGGGACTACCTTGTCCCATGGCCTTGGGGCATTTCGTTGGCAGCAGCCTTGTTTCGGCAGGCTGGGGAGTCATGAGCTGGGAAGTGTTTTCTTTCATGTAGTTCTGCAATTCCATGTCCAGTTCTTGAAGCTGTGTCCTTCTGACCTTGGCAGCAACTTCATTTCATTTGTATTTGGGAGGATTTCATTGTTAGATGTGAGTCAGGGAGGGTTGAATAAACAGCCAGGGCCCAGCAGAAATGCCGTGTCATCAGTGAGCTAATTTTGTAGCACATGTCCTGTGTTTTGTCGGTGCCTTGTGAAGACTGGGCTCCTCTTCTGTGCTGCTGCATGTCCTTCAGTCATTGTGTTACACCCAGGAATGATGAGGGAGCTGCTGATGTCCTGGGGAGGTCACACTGAAATTGCTTCGAAAGGTCCCCATGCCTGGGAGCTCTTCCTGATGGATGAATGAGACCCCATGCCCTTGTTTCTTGTGTAGGATCAAGAGAGATGGTCTGGAAATTAGAGCCTGGTTAAGTTGAATTTGTTCCAGTGCTGTGGTCCATTTGGATTTCTCATCATTCCATGGGAATGTACTCTGTCATTTAAAGTGTATTTGTTCACCTCTTTAAGAAATCAAATAAACAAGTGGCCAATGATGCTTGATCATGTCTTACCCAGTCTGGTCTGTGACGTGAAATTGCTTATGTTCCTCATTCAACCCATATTGTTTCATAATTTATATCCTGTCAGTCGTAATATTTTAATCCTGTTAGGAAAAAACACTAATTGCTACTGGATGGTCATTGTGATGCTATTTCCTCCTTCGTTATGGTGCCAGCGTGTCTTTGTGGAATTCCGTGATTCTGTGTCCCTCTTTAGAGGCTGTATCCATCTGACCTTTGTGGCAGTTTTTAATTTTGAGGAGTATAGGCCAAAGGATTGGTATCATTGTTTTGTGTCAGGCATGTAGAAGATGACAACAAAGCCCACAAGAATTGGGGGGTTATGGGTGAGGTCATGCCATGGAACACTCACATCTCCTTTGTCCGCTCTTCTCTTCTCACAGAAATAAACCCCACATGGTTCCCATTTCTAATCACAATGATTCTTTGGTCCTCTCAGGCTCTTGCTGCTCCTGTACTGTTCTTGCTTCACAAAGTCCATGTCTTCTTCCTCTGTAGACACCTACACATCACCCCAAATCAGATATCCTTATCTCTGAGGAGAAAGGAAGTGTCAGTCTGATAGAAAGCCATTTTAAGAAGTTCTTTTACTGCAAGGATGCATGGCCATCTCTTGATCTGTTTGATCTCTGCCATGACAATAATTCTCACATCTCCAATTGATGTCCAGCCATTCCTGCAGCTACACTTCTTTCTCTGCAGCCCAGTATGTGGTTGGTGTTCTGGGCTGAAAATTCACATTCCTGTTTCCTGTCAAGATTTTGGTCCACCAGAACCCTCAGGTCTTTCTCTGTGGATCTGCTTGTAAGGATTTCCTCTCCAAAGCTGTACTCATGTCTGGGACTGTTGCAACCCAGGTGCAGGACCTTGAACTTGGATTTGTTGAAGCTCATGAGGTTCTTACATTCTCACCATTCCCAGTGTAACTCCTGATGAGATCCCTCCATGTTCTTGTGTCAACTGCAACACTCAGCTTCCTGGCACCTGCAAACATGCTGAGGGTGATCTTGATCTCACTGCTCATGTTCTTGATAAAGGTATTCAAGATCATCAGTCCAAGGCCTGAAGGCCTTGTCACTGGCCTCCACCTATACACAGAGCCATTGACATCGCTCTCTGGCTGTTCCCCATCCATTCATTATTCCACCTTTGAAACCTGCGTGTCTACAGTTTAGAGATAAAGATGTTATGTGGGACTGTGTTAAAGCCTTGAAAGAAGTCCAGGATGACACCAGTTGCCCTTCCCTTGGCAACCAAAGTGTTCTAGAAGAGAAGGACCTTCTGTTCCTGGTGGAACTGAAATGGATCTTGAGGTCACCATGTACCCTTTACGGTAAAAAGCTCCCACAGTTACCAAAACAGGATTAGGAAGAGAAATACAAGCAAGTTGAGGGAGTTGAACATCCTGTTCCTCACCTCAGATGAAGCCACATGGACGTGAACATGGTTGACCAAGAGCAGTGCAGGGCCACCATGACACTGATGGGACTGGAGTTTCCTTAAGATGAGAAGAAGCTGAGAGAACTGGGAGTTCTTCCAGGCAGGTGGCAAGAATGCAAATAGGACACGTTGTCAATGCACCATGGAATGATCTCACTGACGACACCCCAATCCTTGTAAGCTTTACTTGAATCTTCTACATGTCCTGGCATGCACCGCCAACAACAACACATTGGTCACTAATTCTCGAAACTGAAAACTATCACCAAGGTCAGGTGGAGATGGCCTCAGGAGCAGAACATGAAATTGCATAATTCCACAAAGGAACAACCAAACCATGGCAAAGAAGGAAAGAGGAGCTTGTTGACTGACCATGACTAATTACTGGGCTTTGTTCACAGGAACAAAACATTAATACTTATGATTATAAGTTATGACACCTTGTGGTTTGAATGCGGAAATAAGTAAATTGTCGACACAGATCAGTTTGGGGCAAAAAGGGATCAAGCCTGGTTTCTTTTTATTTATAGGATTTCTGAATGAGGCCAAGGAATACACATTAATTGACGGTGTCCATGGTCGAGTAAATTTCAGAAATCCAAATGGATGATAAAAATGGAACAAGTTCCACCTAAACAGCCTCGTATTTTCCAGATTCTCCCTCTAGCTCACATAGAAGACACAAGCACAGGGACTTTATTTCATAAATCAGGAACTGCTCACAGGCACCGGGACCTTTCCAAGATATTGCTCAGTGATGTCCCAAGGCCATCAGAAACACCCTCAACATTTCTGGGTCCCACGCAATGACTGATGGATATCCTGTGGCACACAAGAGGAGCCCAGTCTTCACAAGGCACCGACAAACCACAGCACACAAGTGCCACAAAACAACTGCACTGATGACATCGCATTTCTGCTGGGCTCTTGTATATGTTGCCCTCCCTGACTCACATCTATCAAATCCACCTAAATATCATCTCCTGAAGCTGTTGCCAAGGTCAGAAAAACCCGACCTCAAGAGCTGGATAGGACAATGCAGAGCTGTGGAAAGGAAAACATTCCCCACCTCATAACTCACCAGGCTGGGCCAGCAAAGAACTGCTGCCTGCAAAATGCCCCAAGGCCATGGGAGAAGGCTGTCCCGCCCCTCCAGGACCAGCATAAAAGCCGGCCCAGAGCCTCTCTCCATCACACACTTCTCACACTTTCTTCTCCTGCTCCTGCTGAAAACCAGGTGAGCCTTAATCCCCTGACCCTCCTGCTCCTGTACCCCTGACCCCTCTTCCAGCCTGCTCGGCCCCAGCCTCAGCAGCCCTCACACCTCCCCACAACCCCACAACAGCCTCCACACTCCCTCACCTACCTGCATCACCAACCCTTGCACCCCTCACCCCTGCCCTGCCTCACTCCCCTCTCTTCCAGGGACCCTCCACACCACAACCATGGCCTGCAACAGCCTCTGCCGTCCCTGTGGACCCACCCCACTGGCCAACAGCTGCAACGAGCCCTGTGCCCTGCAATGCCAGGACTCCCACGTTGTCATCAACCCTTCCCCTGTGCTGGTCACCCTGCCAGGACCCATCATGACCTCCTTCCCCCAGAACACCGCCGTTGGATCCACCTCCTCGGCTGCCGTGGGCACTGAACTCAGTGTGCAGGGACAGCCCATCTCTGGTGGATTTGGTGGATTTGGTGGCTTTGGCTATGGCCGTGGGTTTGGCTACGGGCTGGGCTGTGGCTATGGGCTGGGAGGCCTGGGCTGCTATGGCAGAAGGGGCGGCTACAACTGCTAAGGGCCCTCAGCAACAACCCTGACATGAGCCTCTCACTCCCTGGAACACATCTCAGGCAAGGCAGCAGCCAAGGGTACAGCCCAAGCTGAATGCAAGTATGGCCCATCTCTCTCCTCCTCTTCTTCCATTCCCTGCTATGCATCACCCCTTTGCCTATGTGCAGTCTCCTGTGCTGCAAGCCACTTCTTGCAGAAGTGACAGAGACCGTGAGACACCTCTGCTGGGCTGCTCCTTCTGCAAGGCACAAAGTCTGGCACAACCTCCTGCAAGCAAAGCACCTTATTTTGCTCAATAAAGTTTTCCTGCATCATAGCTTCATGAGTCCGTCTATTTTCTTCTCCCTAGACTCTTCCAATCCCTGCTCTGTGCTATGCCGGGGTTTTAGAGACCATGGGGATGGGTGAAAAAGTCATCCCAGACCACTTTTATGTGTTACTTCCCCAGTTCTTTTACCCACTGGCACACTTTGCTCTTCCAGTGCATTCCATCAGACCTTCAGATACTAAATCACAGGCTTGGATTCACTAATGCAGATTTATCCCTGCCTCTGGCACAGGCTCCTCATCATTTTCCATGTTGTTTGTTCCCTTTGGCTGGAGAGCAGTTGATTCTGACCCTCATCATCTTCCAGGCTTTGGGAGATTTTCACCATCTTCCTTGTCTTTGGGAGCTCGGAGTCAAAACAGAACTCTGGTCTAAATACAGGTGAGCAGAGTGAGATTCCCCCACTCTCTTGTGTTGCCCACACTGTGTGGATGAGCCCGAGATACAGGGGGTTTCTGGCTGGTGAGTGCACAAGGCTGGGACACATCCAGTTCTTCATCCAACACCCCAAGTCCTCCTCCTTGAGGCTGCTCTTGATCCCCTCATCACTCAGCCTGTGTCCTGCATTTTTGGCATTGCTCCATTCCAGGTGAGGGAGATTCTGCCCCTCTGCACTTCTTTGCTCATACTAGAGAACTGTGTTTATCTCTGAGTTACTGGGAATAAGGAAGACAAGACTCTGCTGGATAACATCCAGAGTATGACCTCGAGGATGATCTGGGGCTGAAGGTCTGGGACAGCCATTGGCCATGACATCAGGACATTTTTTTCAGGCAGCGTCTCTCACAAATCATAAGGTGGGCAGTGTTTTTCTTCCCTCGGCTCTCTGGTATAGTGTCCAGCTATTGGGGTTGTGTCTGTCTGACCTTGGTGGCATCTCTTAATAAGCTGGTATTGGTTCCAACCTTGTTGGATGAGGGGAGAGGGAACAATATCACGTACTTGGACTTATTCATAGCCTTTGTTCCTGTACCAGAAGGTACCTGCATATTCAGTCTGGAAAGATGTGGAGTTGTGCTTGGGCCATGTGGTGGATAAGGAATAGATGGGATGTCCATTCAAAGAGGACAAAGATTCATAGAGGACAGTCTAAGACGAGCTGTTGTGGTCACTGGCTCTGTGTGTGTGGAGAAAAGGGATGACTGGTGACAGGCAGAAGCTCCTATTGGGACCAGTATAATTTCCCATCTTTGTCAGGGACATGGGCAGTGGGATTGAGTGGGATGTGCAGCAAAATCAGAGACCAGGACAAGCTGAGTAGGGCTGTTGGTTGTCTGGAGAGAAGGGATGGCTTCCAGAGGGGCTGGAATGGGTTGGGACAGTGGGATATTGTCCAGTTCATGTAGCTGAACGTGGCCAAATGCAAGCTCCTGCATTTGGTTTGGAGCAGTGCCAAACATGACCACAGACTGGACAATGAGAGAGCTGAGAGCAGCCTAGAGGAGAAGGACCTGGGATGTTGGTGGATGAAGAACTGAATGTTCCTCGGCCATGAAGAGTCACAGATCAGAAAGCCCATGTGTCCTGGGCTCCTCCTCACAGCATGGGCAGCAGGTGAGAGGGGAATTCTGTCCCTCTGCTCTGCTCTTCTGAGACTGGAGATGTGTATTCAGAAGATGTGGACATGCTCGAGGAGAGCTGTAGATGGACAGGGAAGATGATGAGGGTCTGGAGCAACTGGTGCCCAGACACTGTGAACCCATACATGGCTTCTGTCAGAGGCAGGGATGGATTTGCATTAGTATATCCCAGCCTGGGGTCAAGCAAGTGAAAGGTTTATGGGATGCCCTGGAAGACCAAAGTGTGCCAGTGTGTGCCTGTGAAGGAAGAGGACGCTTCACAATGCTGCAATGCAAAAGAATTTTATTGAGGCAAGAAGAAAAAATCATGAGCAGCAAGTGGAAGAGGCCTAGCTGAGGAACAAGCAGAGCATCCGTCAGACAAGGCCTCTTTGCTTGCAGGTGGGTTGGCCAGAGCATCAAGGAATTCCTGCCCCATAGTGGGAGGAGCCTGATACTGGAGGTGCCTGATGATCTCTGACTTAGAAAAAGCAGTTTTCAGCACAGAGGAATGGATAGAGCCTAAGGGGCGATGCAGAGCATGGAGTGGGAGAAGAGCAGGAGGCAGATGGGCCATGTTTCCAGGGCAGCCTAGGTTGACCCCTTGTCTGCTGCCTTGCTTGGTGCCCAGAGGTGGAAGTGCTGAGTCCATCTGAGAGCCCTGGACCAGAGAGGTGTCCTCAATGCCTGAGATGTGTTCCAGCGAGCTGGTGGTTGGTGTCAGGGTTGCTGCTGAGGGCCCTTAGCAGATGTAGCCACCCCTTCTGCCATAGCAGCCCAGGCCTCCCAGCCCATAGCCACAGCCCAGCCCGTAGCCAAATCCACGGCCATAGCCAAGGCCATAGCCACCAAATCCACCAGAGATGGGCTGTCCCTGCACACTGAGTTCAGTGCCCACGGCAGCCGAGGAGGTGGATCCAACGGCGGTGTTCTGGGGGAAGGAGGTCATGATGGGTCCTGGCATGGTGACCAGCACAGGGGAAGGGTTGATGACAACGTGGGAATCCTGGCACTGCAGGGCACAGGGCTCGTTGCAGCTGTTGGCCAGCGGGGTGGGTCCACAGGGACGGCAGAGGCTGTTGCAGGCCATGGGTGTGGTGTGGAGGGTCCCTGGAAGAGAAGGGAGTGAGGCAGGGCAGGGGTGTGGTGTGGAGGGTTGCTGAAAGAGAAGGGTGTATGGGAGGGCAGGGTTGTTGGGGTGCAAGGGTCAGTATTACAGGAGGGTGAGGGAGTGTTGAGATTGTTGTGGGGCTGTGGGGAGGTGAGGGCTGCTGAGGCTGGGAACAAGCATGCTGGCAGAGAGGGCCCAGGGGTGCAGGAGCAAGAGGCTCAGGGGTTTGAGGCTCACCTGGTTGTCAGCAGGAGCAGGAGGAGAAGGTGTCAGGAGAAGTGTGTGAGGGAGAGAGGCTCTGGGCTGGCTTTTATGCTGGTCCTGGAGCGGCGGGACAGCCTTGTCCCATGGCCTTGGGGCATTTTTTAGGCAGCAGCCCTTTGCTGGCCCAGCACAGTGAGTTATGAGGTCGGCAGTATTTTCTTCCATGCAAATCTGTAATTCCATGTCCTGACCCTGAGGCTGTGTCCATCTGACCTTGGCGGCAGCTTTTAATTGCAAGAATTAGTGTCCATTATCTTGTTGTTGGTGACTTTCAGGACACATAGAAGATTCAAACAACTCTGAGGAGAACTGATGTGTCATCAATGAGAACATGCTGTGGCATATTGACCTCATTTCCCATTTGCCTTCTTCTGCCTGAAATAACTCCCAAATCTGTCAACTTCTCCCTGTTTTAAGGGTACTCCATTCCCATCAGTGTCATGGTGTCCCGGCACTGCTCTTGATCAACCATGTCCATGTTCTTGTTGCATTCTGCAGCCCCCAGTGGGGCACAACATGGTCAGCTTCCTCATCCTCCTTGTATTACTTTTCCTATTACGTATTTCCTAATCCTCTCCTGGTAATTGCTGGACATTTTTACATCAGAGGGTACATGGCCACCTCATGATCCATTTATGCTCCCTCAGGATCACAAGGTCCTTCCCTGCTCCAATGTTATTGTTGACGAGGGAATGGCAATCAATGTCATGTGCCTTGTATCAGGGCCTTAACACAGTCCCACAGGACTTCCTTATCTCTAAACTGCAAACACGTGGGTTTGAAGGGTTGTCTTATCAATGGGTGAGTAATTGTTCCCCTCATGCTTCTTCTGCTTATCCTCCATGAGGTTTCCTTTCCACGTGTCCGTCACAGCCCAGCACTTTGACCCCACACTGTGGTCTTGCTGGGCCCAGCTGAGACAAGCGCTATGGATGAATCATCACAAGACTCTGAGGAGCATAGGACACCTCCTTAAGTCATGTGGATTGCTTTCCCATCTCCAATGGCAAAAGCCAGGAATATAGACAAGCCTGGAGAGAAGTAGCCAAGGTAGAGAGGAAGAGAACGTGATCAAAGGGGCAGACACTCATCCCCAGAACACCTGCAAAGCTTAGAGCAGCCTAAAACTTCTGTGAGGAAATGGAATCCTTCTTCACCACACACACACAAAATGCAGCACACCAGTGCCATGGGGTGACCTCACTGATGACACCCCATCTCCTCAAAGCTTTGGTCACGTCTTCAACCCATCCTGACATAATCCATCAAGCATTTAACCTCTAATACACTTAAAAGCTTCTGCCAAGGTCAGATGAACACGGCCTCAACAGAAGGACGTGGAATGGCAGAATCCAACAAAGGAACGCCAGCACCATGACAGAGGAGGAAAGAGCAACTCACTAACTGTCCACTAGTAATTTCTCTTTTTTACTAATAGGATCACAATATTAAGACTGACGGGATGTAAGTCATGAAACACTTTGGTTTGAAGGTGGAATAAAATAATTGACATCACATAAAAGGTTGAAAAAAAGAGATGGGCCTGCATTTGTTTATTTTATTTCTAAACGAGGTCAAGAGATACACTTTAAATTATAGAATAGCTTCTTGGGCAATTTTAGAAATCTAAATGGACTATAACATTGAAACAAGTTAAGCCTGAACAGCTTCTACTTTCCAATATCCTCTCTCGATCTGATTCAAAACACAAGGCCATGAGCTCTCTTTCATCCATCAGGAAGGGTTCCCAGGCACTGGGACCATTCCAAGCTATTGCAGCATGACCTCCCCAGGACATCAGCAGCTCCCTCAGCTTTCCAGGGTGCAATACAATGACTGATGGACATCTTCAGTGGCACAGAAGAGAAGCCCAGTTTTCACTAGGCAAACACAAACTACAGCACGCAAGTGCCACAAAATTATCTCACTGGTGACATTTCAACTCTGCATGTCTCTGCTTGTTTATTCAGCCTTCCCAGAAATGTATGTAGCAATCAAATCTGCCCAAAGACCAACTCCCAACTGAAAGCTGCCGCCAAGGTCAGATGGACCCAGACTCAAGGGCAGGACATGAAACTGCAGAATTTCGTGAAGGAAAACACTCCCCACACAATGACTCATCTGACAGGGCCAGCAAAGGGCTGCTGCCTAAAAAATGCCCCAAGGACATGGGACAAGGCTGTCCCGCCCCTCCAGGACCAGCATAAAAGCCAGCCCAGAGCCTCTCTTTCTCCATCACACTCTTCCTCACACCTTCTCTGCCTGCTCCTGCTGAAAACAAGGTGAGTCTCACTCCCCTGACCCTCCTGCTCCTTCACCCCTGGGTCCTCTCTTCCAGCATGCTCAGCCCCAGCCTCAGCAGCCTTCATATCTCCCCACAGCCCCACAACAGCCTCCACACTCCCTCACCCTCCTGAATCATCCTCGCACCCCCACACCCCTGCCCTGCTTCACACCCCTCTCTTCCAGGGACCCTCCACACCACACCCATGGCCTGCTACGACTCCTGCCGTCCCTGTGGACCCACCCCACTGGCCAACAGCTGCAACGAGCCCTGTGCCCTGCAATGCCAGGACTCCCACGTTGTCATCAACCCTTCCCCTGTGCTGGTCACCATGCCAGGACCCATCATGACCTCCTTCCCCCAGAACACCGCTGTTGGATCCACCTCCTCGGCTGCCGTGGGCACTGAACTCAGTGTGCAGGGACAACCCATCTCTGGTGGATTTGGTGGCTTTGGCTATGGCCTTGGCTATGGCCGTGGATTTGGCTATGGGCTGGGCTGTGGCTATGGGCTGGGAGGCCTGGGCTGCTATGGCAGAAGGGGTGGCTACAACTGCTAAGGGCCCTCAGCACCACCCCTGACACCAACCACCAGCTCCCTGGAACACATCTCAGGCATTGAGGACGCCTCTCTGGTCCAAGGCTCTCAGATGGACTCAGCGCTTCCAGCTCCTGCTCTCAGGGCACCAATCAAGACAGCAGACAAGACACCAGCCCTGGCTGTCTGCAAAAATGGCCCATCTGCCTCCTGCTCTTCTCCCACTCTGTGCTCTGCATCGCCCCTTTCACTCTTTCCAGTCTCCTGTGCTGCAAACCACTTCTCCCAAGACAGAGACAGTTGAGCACCTCCAGTGGGCTGCTCCCACTGCTCCTTGATGCTCTGGCCTAACTGCTTGCAAGCAAAGGAGCTTGGCCAATGGTTGCCCTACTTGCTCCTCAGACTGCTTTCTTTCAGTGTATGCTCATGACCTTCCACTCCTCTTTTAGCTCAATAAAATTCTCTTGCATTGCAGCCTCAGATGTCTCCTTTTCTTTCACTGGCACACACTGTCACAGTTTGCCTTTCTAGTGCATTCCACATACCCTTCCGTTGCTTGAGTCCAGGCCTGGATACACTAATGCAGATCTATCTCTGCCTATGATACAAACCATGCGTGGGTCTTGTTTTCACTTTGGCTGCACACCAGTTGCTCCAGACCCTCATTACCTTCCTGGCTCACCTACAGCTCTGCTTCAGCAGGTCCATTGCCCATGCTGTGGCAATGAGCCCAGAACATGGAGGGGTTTGGTGTTGTCCTGAAAACTCAGCTTCTGAGCTTGCTGACATAGTTTTCCAAAGACTTTCCCAGTACAGTAACTATAAACATAGATATGTGTACATTATTTCTGATACACGTCTTGTGATGGACATCTCTCATGGCCAGTGCAGTTGGGAAAGTGTTATCCTGACCATTCAATCCCTGGCTATGGTCAGAAACCTATAAATTCTGGGAGAAGAAATAAAGCTCTCTCTTCCTTTCACCACACCTCGAGCTGTGTTCGTGTGACCTAATCATCTCCAGCAGCAACGTTTTGGTATTTGAGTGCACATGGCCAAGGCATGAACAGTTCTTCATCCACCAACACCCCAAGTCCTTCTCCTTGGGCATGCTCTCAATCAACTCATTACCTATCCAATATCCATTACTGAGATTACAGTCCCACTGCCCAGCTCATTATTTAGGATATTGAACAGAGTTGGCCCCATGGATCCAGCTCCAGGGCTGCAGTACTGGAGACTCTCCTCCATTTGCACTTTGGGCCACTGATCCCCAGCCTCTGGGACCAGCCCTGCAGCCACTCTCAGGCCACTCACTGCACTCTCAGGCAACCTGGACTTGCTCAGATGCCCTGGAGTGTAGAATGGGAAGGAGTCTCAAAGGCTTCACAAAAGGGTTGAGTTCAGCAGCAGCCAAAGCTCTCTCCTCATGCCCAAGCCGAGTCACTGGGACAGAGCAGACACAGAGCTCAGCCAAGCACCATTTCTTCAAGGGAAATCCTCCAAGAGAAGTGGCCTCAGCTCTGAGCACTTGCCACAGCTCAAGACCCCAAAGGCCTGGCTCACCATTCCCCTGCTCCTGTTCCCATTTTCACGAAGGTCAAATTCTTCCTGAAAAGTTTGAAGGGGTTCCAACATTGATGAATGATGGAAGAGGAACTGCTATCATGTACAAGGACTTGTGCAAAGCATTTCTTCCTGTGGCAGACAACATCCTTATCTCTGACCTGGAGAGATGTGGAGTTGATAGCTGGAACATCAGCTGTGGGGTGGAAAATGGATGGGATGGTCTCACTTACCATTGAGAGTTGTGGTCAACAGCTCCATGTCTGTGAGGAGAACAGGGATGAGTGGTGACCCACAGAGGCTCATATTGGGACCATTATCTTTTCCCATCTTTGTCAGGCACAGGGACAGTGCAAATGAATGTCGCCTCAGCAAGACTGGGAATGACATCAAGATAAGCAGTGTGGTTGATTGTCTGGAGGGAAGGGATGGCATCTGGAGAGTTCTTGACAGGCTGGGGATATGGGGTGGTGTGATTGTCATGAAGGTCAACAGGACCGAGTGCAAGATCCTAAATCTGAATTGGAGCAATCTCAGGAATTGATGTTGGATGGGGAATGAGTTGATTAAGAGCATCCCTGAGGAGAAGGTGGGTGTTTGTGGATGAAGAATTGGAAATACCCTGGCCATGTGAATATGCCAAACAGAAACTGCCCATGCCGTGGGTTCATTGCCACAACGTGGGCAGCTGGTGAGGATGGAATTCTGAACCTCTGCTCTGCTCTGGTGAGACTGGAGCTCTGTGCTCAGCTCTGGAGCCTCAAGGGTAAGGACCCACTCGTGTGGATCTGCATATGGGCTAAAGAGATAAAGAGAAACTAGAGCAACTGCTGTGCAGCCAACATAAAAACATGGCCCAGGAGGGGCTTGTGTCAGAGGCAGGGACAGACCTGCCTCAGTGTTTCCAGGAGCAGGATCAAGCAAGGGAAGGGTTTGTGGGATGCACTGAAAGAGCAAAGTGTGCCAATGTGTGCCAGTGAAAGAAAAGGAGACATCACAATGCTGCAATGCAAGAGAATTTTATTGAGGCAAAAGAACAATGAGAAGTCATGAGTGGCAAGAGGAAGGGAAATGGTCTGAGGTGGAAGTAGGGCAACCATCAGCCAAAGTCCTTTGTTTGCAGGTGGTTAGGACAGAGCATCAAGGCTTTCCTTCTTTGCAGTAGAAGCAACCCGATGATGAAGGTTCCTGAGGGTCTCTGTCTTCGGAGAAGGGATTTGAAGCAGAGGGGACTTGACATAGCTGAAAGAGACTGGCAGAAGAGGAGGAGGCAGGTGGGCCATGTTGCCAGGGCAGCCCACACTGGCCCCTTGGCTACTGTCTTGTTCTGAGACCTGAGAGCAGGAGCTGGAGGCCCTGAGCTGGTTGACAGCTTTGGCCTAGAGAGGCATCCACAGCATCTGAGATGTGTTCCAGGGAGTGGAAGGTTGGTGTCAGGAGTGGTGCCGAGGGCCCTCAGCAGTTGTAGCCACCCCTTCTGCCATAGCAGCCCAGGCCTCCCAGCCCATAGCCACAGCCCAGCCCATAGCCAAATCCACGGCCATAGCCAAGGCCATAGCCAAAGCCACCAAAGCCACCAAATCCACCAGAGATGGGCTGTCCCTGCACACTGAGTTCAGTGCCCACGGCAGCCGAGGAGGTGGATCCAACGGCGGTGTTCTGGGGGAAGGAGGTCATGATGGGTCCTGGCAGGGTGATCAGCACAGGGGCAGGGTCGATGATAACACGGGAATCCTGGCATTGCAGGGCACAGGGCTCGTTGCAGCTGTTGGCCAGCGGGGTGGGTCCGCAGGGACGGCAGATGTTGTTGCAGGCCATGGGTGTGGTGTGGAGGGTCCCTGGAAGAGAGGGGAGTGAGGCAGGGGTGAAGGGTGTGAGGGTGTGAGGGTGGTGATGCAGGAGGGTGTGGGAGTGTGGAGGCTGTTGTGGGGCTGTGGGGAGGTGTGAGGGCTGCTGAGCCTGGGGCTGAGCATGCTGGCAGAGAGGGGCTAGGGGGTAGGGGAGGAGGGTCAGGGGTTTGAGGCTCACCTGGTTGTGGGAATAGGAGAAGGAGAAGGCTTGAGAAGTGTGTGAGGGACAGAGGCACTGGGCCAGCTTTTATGCTGCTTCTGGAGGGGTGGGACAGCCTTCTCCCATGGCCTTGGGGCATTTTGCAGGCAGCAGCTCTTTGCTGGCTCAGCCTGGTGAGTCATGATGTGGAGAGTATTTTCCTTCACAGAAATCTGCAGTGTCATGACCAATTCTTGAGGCCGTGTCCATCTGACCTTGGCAGTACCTTTAAGGTGAGCACTGGTATTTGGGCAGATTTGATTGTTCAGTGTGTGTCAGGGCGGGCTGAATAAACAACCAGAGCCCAAGGGAGTTGTGATATCATCAGTGAGGTAATTTTGTGGCAGTCGCGTGCTTTGTTTTGTGGGTGCCTTTTGAAGACTGGGACTCTTTTCTTTGCCACTGGATGTCCATCTGTCATTGTGTTTCTCCCAGGAATGCTGAGGGAGCTGCTATGTCCTGGGGAGGTCACTCTGCAACAACATGGAAATGTTATGGTACGTAGGAGTGTTCCTAAGGATGAAAGAGGGCTCATGGCCTTGTGTCTTGAATTGGATCAAGAAAGAACATCTGGAAAAGTAGAGGTTAGTCTGGTTTAACTTGTTCTGGTGTCATGATCCATTTGGATTTCTCATCTTTACACGACATTGCACTCTGTCATTTAAAGTGTATTCCTTGACCTCATTAAGAAATCTATTAAAAAAAGACCCAACCCAGCTTGATCCATTTTCTCCCTGGCTGTTCTCTCATGTCCATACCTTTATTTCACATTCAAGTCATAAGGTTTCATATCTCATATCCGTTTATTCTTAATAACCTGTTCCTGGAGCAAAACCCAGAAACCCAGTAATTACTAATGGTTGGTCAGTGTAGTCCTCTTCCATCCTCTGTCATGGTGTGGGCGTTCCTTTGTGGAATTCTGCAACTCTATGTCCTCCTTTTGAGGCCATGTCCATCTGACTTTGGTGGCAGATTTTAAGTGTCTTAGAGGTTAAGGGCAGGTGTTGATGGCATGTGTCATGGTGGGCTGAAGACATGTTCAAAGCCTTGGAGTGATGGGGTGACATCAGTGAGGTCACCCCATGGCACCGGTGCGTCCTGGTTTTTGGGTGCATTGTGAAGTGAGGCCCCAAACCATCACAGCTCTGTCAGAACTGTCTGGTTTTGCAGGAGAACTGCTTGTGAGAAACAGCCCTTTCTGTGATGTTCTCTCCATCCCCTCCATGTTGCCAACATTCAGAGCCTGTCTATATTCCTAGCCTTTCCAGCTGGATATGGGAAATTGATCCTTGTGATTTAGGAAGGCCTTCCATGTTGCCCAAAATCTTGAGTAGGTTCATCTGTAGCACTCATCTCAGCTGGGACCAGCAAGGTCACACTGGGTGGTCCCAGTGGCTGTGACTGACCAATGGAAAGGAAAACTGGTGAAGGATAAGGAGGAAAAGATTCATGAGGATCACAGCTCCTCATCCATTGATTAGTCCTCACTTGAAACCCATGTGCCTGAGCTTTAGAAAGGTTGAGGGAGTGCACTATCCTGGTCCCCACCATTAGAAGGGCTCACTGTGGGACAAGGACGTGGACATGGTTGACCGAAAGCGCTGCAGAGACACAATGACACTGACAGGACTGGGGGTATCCTCAAAACGAGGAAAATGGTGAGAAAACTATGAGTAATTTTCACGCAGAAGACAAGAATGCAAATGGGAGATGACATCAATACGCCATGGTATGATCTCACTGACAATGCTCCAATTATCCTAAGATTCGGCTGAGTCTTCTACACATCTGACACACGGCATAAACAACAATATAATCATCACCAGTTCTCCCAATTAAGATGTTCTACCACAGTAAGATGAACACAGCCTCAAGGGAAGAGCAAGGAATTGCACAACTTCAGGAAGGAAAACACTCCCCCATCACAAGACTTGCCACCTAGGGTAGCCAAGAGCTGATGCTGCCAAAATGCCCCAAGGCCATGGGCCAAGGCTGTCCCACCCCTCTAGGACCAGCATAAAAGCCGGCCCAGATCCTCTGTCCCTCACACACTCCTCCTCACATCTTTTCCTTCACCAGAGCAGACAGCAAGGTGAGTCTCAAACCCCTGACACTCTTGCTCCTGCACCCCTGACCCCTCTACTCCAGCACACTTGGCCCTAACCTCAGCAGCCCTCACGCCTCTCCACTGCCCCTCAACAGCCTCCACACCCTTTTGCCTCCTGTGCTTCCCCTCACACCCCAACACCCCTGGCTGTACTCACTCCCCTCTCTTCCTCCACAGTGGAATCCTCCACACCACACCCATGGCCTGCAACAGCATCTGCCGTCCCTGCGGACCCACCCCACTGGCCAACAGCTGCAACGAGCCCTGTGCCCTGCAATGCCAGGACTCCCATGTTGTCATCAACCCTTCTCCTGTGCTGGTCACCCTGCCAGGACCCATCATGACCTCCTTCCCCCAGAACACCGCCGTTGGATCCACCTCCTCGGCTGCCGTGGGCACTGAACTCAGTGTGCAGGGACAGCCCATCTCTGGTGGATTTGGTGGATTTGGTGGCTTTGGCTACGGCCTTGGCTATGGCCGTGGATTTGGCTACGGGCTGGGCTGTGGCTATGGGCTGGGAGGCCTGGGCTGCTATGGCAGAAGGGGTGGCTACATCTGCTAAGAACACCTGCATCACCCTTAATAACACCAGCTCAGGGCTCTGCAACAGCTTCTGCCAGCAAAGCACCTCAGCTGGCGGTCACCCTACTTGCACCTCGCACCAGATCCCTTCTTCTTTCTCCTGTCTCTTCATTCTTGTACCTCAATAAAGTTTTCTTGCATCAAAGTCTCAGACGCCTCATGTTCTTCTGTAATTCCAGTGGTCTCACATCCTTACCAAGAACATTCCCAGCCTCAACAAGTCACTGGGGTATGTGCAACATTACCTACCCTCACAAACATCTTGAAGCAAATTATAAGGAAGTCTGGCATAGGAAGCACAGGAGGGGGCACCTTCCAGAACATGACACAGACCCATCACTTTATACACAAAAGTCTTGGAAACGTTAATGTTCTCCCAGGCACAGTAGTGGCAAATTCTTTCTGTGTCACTGCACACTTGACAAACTCTCTTCCCACCAGGAATAATGAAACGTTCCAGCAAAAAAGTCACAAAATCATGCACCTGGACAGGAAATCTGGAGTGCAAGTTCTTCAAGTCCCCTAATCAAGCAACACCTACAGGAGCAGGAATTCCAGCACCACGGACAGTTCAGTGTTTTTTCACCTAGGGCAGATACTCCAACACCTCTTCCACTCTATGGCTACCCTGACAACTAAAAATTGTTGCCTTCTTTAGCAATTGCATTCCATCTGTTTTCCCTTTGCACTTGCCATCTTATCCTGCCTGTGTGCATTGATGAGAAAAAAGCCAAGCTCCCTCAACTTCATTGTCTGCCATCAGAGATTTGCACACACTGATGACACATCCCTGTCCACCCTCGTCCCCCAGGAGTCCCAGCTCTCCCACTTTCTCCTCTACAAATGACTCACCAGCCCCTCTCGAATGTTGGTGGTTCTGAACAGGTTGTGACTCACTAAATGTATTTCATATTCACACCAGGGGGTCCACAGCTCCACACAACTCACGTGAGCTCACATGGGACCTCACCAGTGCTAAGAAGACACCAAGAGTCACCTCCCACCCCTCATCACAATGCTTCTCCCCAGATTTGACCTAAAGACTTGAGGTCCCTTTTCCCACAATGATACAGGGATACCTCCTGCCCCCTTTCTTCTAACCCAGAACCACAACAGCCTCTTCAGAGAAACAAAACAATTGTTCCAAGTCACACCCAGATAGTTCTTCTTACTTGACATGTCTCCTCCCAAGAAAAAGCACTTGGCTGCTGCCCTTGCTGAAGTCTAGCAAATGTCCACAAGTGTGTTGGCCCAGTGGATCCAACTCCTGGGCTATTCCAGTGGGCACTTGATGCCATCTGGACTTTGGGACACTGATCACAAACCACTGGGCCCAGTCTTTGGGCCTTTCTCAGGCCACCACAACTGGGAGCTGACACAACCTGGACTTGCCTGAGTTGTTAAGGATCATGCAATGCTCACCTCCAAGAACCCTGGTCAGCCTCCAAATCCTCATTCAGACAATCACATGTGGCCTCACTCTTGGCACTCAGCCCAAATCAAGAACCAAAATATCAAAACCTTTGAGGCTAGAGTATCACCCAAGCACCCATGGAGCACGCCCCAACAGAAAGTGAGGTCTGATGTCAGCCTTTCCAAACTAGAATAAATCCTTGGAGGGATGAAATGCAATGGAAGGTGTAACACCTCCTCCTTGGCACAGCTGCAAAGCCCAGACCAGACTATCAGAACTGTGAGAGGTTTGGGGTCAATTTTCAGAAGGCACCCACAGACCATGGCACACAAGGGCCATGGGGTGACCACAGTGATGACATCCCACCTCTCCAAAGCTTGGGTCACGACTTCTCCCCTCCCTGACATGAATCATCACCAGAAGAATTTGACCTCTTAGTGCTCACAATTCACACCACAGATGGAAATGGCCTCAGGAGCAGGATATGGAATTGCACAATTCTACAAAGACAAGCACCTCCTTGTCAGGGAATGACAGTGGACCTCACTGATTGTCCACTAGTAATTACTGGTTATTTTCATATGGGAACACAATGTTCACAATTACAGGTTATGAGTTATGAAACTTGTGGCTTGAATGCGGAATAAGTGAATTGATGTCACAGAGAGCCTGAGAAAAAAGGGATCAAGCCCAGTTTTTTCTTTCTTGATTGGATTTCTTCACAATGTCAAGGGATACATTTTAAATGGCAGAGAACATTGTCATGNCCCCAAACGGGCTCATCAAAAGGGATTTCCATGTGAAAAGGTTTTAATCACTTTTAATGCACTTAAACTGAGATTAAAAATGAGCAGAGCTTTCCTGCAGGTGGGGGATGGTTTTGAAGGCACCCCCTCCACCCTCACTTCCAGCTGGCTTTTCCTTCGGGATTTTTGTCAGGCAAAGGCAGGGCTTTGCTCTAAATTAAAATTTTGAAAGTGGAATTTAGGGAGACTCAGCCAGGAATTCCCACATTTCCTTCTGCCAAAGCAGATAGCCCCAGTGTAGAGGGGCAATCGAAAATTAGTTTTTCATTCCTTTTCTCCTGGGTGAGACCTGGAAATGTGCCCTTTTCCTTTGCGAAAGTCTCAGGGAAGGCTGAATCCTTGGGGACCTCCTTGCTTGGGAGTTGGGGGGTGTCATTTGCATATTAAAAGATGTTATCTTGTGCCTGTGTCCCCTGGAATTGCCCATCCCCTCTCCCAGCTGGCTGAGTCCCAGCATGTGCCCAGCCCTTCCAGGCCTTTCCCAGCTCCAAAATCCCACTCCCAGGAGCCTTGGTGTTGTTCCCACCCGATATTTTACAGGATCACCCATGGAGCCAGGGATGGACACTGAAGCTCCTTCTCCATGCCAGCTAATTCCATGTCTGTCCTGCATCCTCCACGAGACACTGAGGTTTGGCAAGAAGAAACCTCACGTTGATGTTGGGATGAGTCAGATCCAGCTACATCCACGCTTCCACCTCACTTCACAGTGAAATTATGGAATAAGAGGGTTTGGGTTGGAATAAAATCATTCCCACAAATAAAAATCATCCCATTCCAACCCCCTGCCATGGGCAAGGGCACCTTCCACTAGACAACACCAGGTTGCTCCAATGTAACCTTGAACACTCCCAGAGATGGGGGGGAAAAGCCAAGGAAGATTTTCCACGTGCTGGTGGGAGGATAAGATCTTCCTGCTGCCTCCTGCAAGTTTTGGGAGACTAATTAGGGATAAACCCGTGTTTCGACCAAGGAATTGCTGGGAGGTGGCGCAGCCAAGAGCTGCTGTGACAGCACTCGAATAACCACGGTGTTGCATTAAATGTAGTAATTTCGGAGCTTAAATATGCTAATTCTGGGGCTAATTACCAAAGAAATGTTGGAGCATGAGGGAAGATCACAGGGGAAAGGGATAAAGTTGCAGCGACCACATGGGACAGACTCGTTTGTTAATGAAATATCACCCAGGCTTCTGATGTTATCTAACAAGGCCTTGGGATTTGAGGATCAAAGCCCAGAGCAGACCCATTAGCTCATCTGGGCAGGGCGTCTGCGTGACATGATCCAGAGGACATCCCAGGACCTTCCAGCCGGCAGCTTGGGTGGCTTGGCCAAGTCCTGTCGGAGAACCGCTGCTTCATGTGAGTCGTTTCCGTCACGAAGCTTCCTTGTGGGTGACCTATTTCTCTGGAGCGGTTTTGGGTCCAGTCCCACTCCCTGCTTTGCCCTCCCCGTGCCTCATAGGAAAGTGGGGCAGATGGGTATGAGATTCCCGGGTGCTGCTTATGCCAGGTGGAAGCTGTCTGAGGATGATGCTTTATGGCTGCAGCCAAGCTCCAGGAGCCCAGGTGAGAGCTCTAAGCATCTCTTCCCCACTAAAACTTCAGCTTTAAAGCTCTTTTTTAGGGAGCAGCACACCAGCTTTTCCCACAGGATCGCCTGTGCCAGTTTCCATAGGGATTGCGGGTTGCTCCTCACAATGTACAGCCCTTTGCCAGTGGGAGTTATCCAAAAGCAAAGAGGGGAAAGTGGGATGGAGATGGGGGTGCTGGCCACAGATATTCCAAGAAACTCTGTTCATGGGATTGGGAGCAGCTGCTGCACGAGAATGTCCTTTCCACCATCATTTTTGATTTGGTCTTGTCAAGTCCAGTCCTCTGGAGGAGGGAGATGAACCTGCCACTGCTCCATGATGGGGTTTGGGGTTGTTCTGGGAGTGGAATCTTGGCTAGGTGGGTGTGAATCCCATGGAGAGACACTGGAAGAGATGCCACCTCTTCCACCCCATCCCACCTGCTTGGGGTCTCCTTGGATGAAGTGCAGAGAACTGGGCAGGGGGAAACCCAAGGGACTTGGATTTCCCAGGGTGGATAGGAGAGAGGAATGTGGGCACAGGACACTGTGTATATGGATCTGAGCCTCCTCCCAGTGTTCCCTGGAACCCACGTGAGCTGACTGTGCCCAAAAAAGAGCGTCTCTGGCGCAGGTTTGGGATGAGGCAGACATCCCGCTGGGTCTGGCTGCTTGGGCATGTCCCAGGACCTTGGGAAGGCGAAATCCTGCTCTTGTTTCTGTCCAAGTGTTGATGTCAAGCTGGATGAACTCCAAGGTGAATGAGTATTAGAGCATAGATTACTTAAATTTGTCTTTTTATGGGTTAGACTTTGCTTGAAGATGACCTGAAGTTCGTACCTCAAGGCCAACCAGGGGAAATGCACTCTTTACACTAAATCAAGAAATAAAAAGGCCAAACAGTTCCAAACCTATTCCCGCTCTCTTTTTCCAGCTCAGATGCAGGGGCTGTTTAGTTTTTGTTTTAGGGAAGGGCTTTGTTCCTCAGCAAACTTTTCCTCTTTGAACCAAATCTGAATCCAGCTGTGCATGGAGTTCTCCAGCTCTCTGGGCTCCAGCTGCTCCAGAGATGTTATTTTAATTTGCTTTTGATGAATATTTTAGTGCTGCCAAAAGCCCTGGAGACTTTGAACTCGTGTGTCAGCCCAGAGCTCACCTGTTTGCTGGGAGCCTTTGTACAGCAAAAAAAAAAAACACTTCAAAGGAGAAGAAAGAGTGAATGTCACTGGTGAGAAGCAATTTGGGGAGACCAAAGATCTTTATAACCCAAAAATCCGTATTGGAGTGTCAAAATCGGGAGGCATAGAGGCAGGAGGGTGGCACAAAGGACACCATCTCAGCAGGGTCACAGGCTTGTCCCTGCACCTTGTTCCCAGGTCTCCATGCTGTGCCTCAGGAATCCACAGTGACTTGGTGGGAGTCAAGCCATAATGGGGACATGCTTGGTGACCTCAGAGCAGAGGTTGGTGGCTTGGGGTCAGCAGCACGCATGATCCAGGGACTCTAAACAGGGAGGAGGGTGGTCTGGAGGCCCCCTTAATGGGACCTTGCAGTGAGGAGGGAAAGTGGGATATCCATCGAGGATCACTTGAATACCTCATAACAAGGTGAGATCCTGGCCTGGAGACTCCCAAGGAGGTAGAATGGGGACCCTGCAGCCAGATGGACAATGCAACAATGGCCATCACCTGGGTCAGCTGAGGAACTCACAGAAAGGGGTGTGATCACCTGGAAAGTCTGGTAAGCCAAGGCCCTTGAAGGAAGAGGGGACAAGAAAATGGGACCTTCCGTGGGTGGTCCTGGTACCTCTCTGAAAGTGAAGATGGTATCAGAGATTGCAGCTATTTATCCTGGGAGCAAAATATCTGTGCTGGGTGTAGCTGCAGAAGTCTGGCATAAGAGGAGGAGGCATCTGAGGCTTTGCCGCAGGAAAACTTTATTGAGGCAAAAGAATGAAGAAACAGGAGCAGCAAGTGGGAGGGATCCAATGTGAGGTTCAGGTAGGTCAGCCACCAGCTGATGCATTGCTTGCAGGAACCCTTGCCAGAACCCCAACATCATGGTGTCAGGGGTAATGCTGAGGGTCCTCAGCAGATGTAGCCGCCCCTTCTGCCATAGCAGCCCAGGCCTCCCAGCCCGTAGCCATAGCCCAGCCCATAGCCAAGGCCAAAGCCAAAGCCACCAGAGATGGGCTGTCCCTGGGCATTGAGCTCGCTACCAACGGCAGCCGAGGAGGTGGATCCGACGACGGTGTTCTGGGGGAAGGAGGTCATGATGGGTCCTGGCAGGGTGACCAGCACAGGGGCAGGGTCGATGATGACACGGGAATCCTGGCATTGCAGGGCACAGGGCTCGTTGCAGCTGTTGGCCAGCGGGGTGGGTCCGCAGGGTTGGCAGAGGTTGTTGCAGGCCATGGTTGTGTTGAAGAGGGGACCTGGAAGAGAGGGGAGTGAGAAAGGATGGCGATGCTGGGTGCAAGGGGCGGTGATGCAGGAGGGTGAGGGAGTGTGGAGGCTGTTGTGGGGCTGTGGGGAGGCATGAGGGCTGCTGAGGCTGAGTCTGAGCATGCTGGAGGAGAGGGCCCAGGGGTGCAGGAGCAGGAGGGTCTGGGGTTTGAGGCTTACCTGGTTGTCAGCAGGAGCAGGAGGAGAAGGTGTGAGGAGAAGTGTGTGAGGGAGAGAGGCTCTGGGTCAGCTTTTATGCTGGTCCTGGAGGGGTGGGACAGCCTTGTCCCATGGCCTTGGGGCAATTTGCTGGTCTGGTGAGTCCTGAGGTGGGGAGTGTTTTGCTTCCCACAACTCTGCAGTGTCATGTCTGACTCTTGAGGCCATGACCTTGGCGGCAGCTTTTAAATGCCGGTATTAGAGACCAAAGGCTGCTGTTGATGTTGTTTATCTGAGTGGGCTGGAGATGTGTGACCCGAGCTTTGGAGAGGCGGGATGTCATCATCAGGGCTATGGTGTGCTATGGTTTTGTGGGTGTGTGGTGAAGAGCACCAAGCTCTTCTGCAACAGCCACATCAGGCTCATTTGGGCTATGCAGATCTTCTGGGGGTGACAGGTGTCCCCTTCCATCACAGTTTCTGTCACCTTGCCAGGTTGAGAAATTCCTAAACCTCTCTGTATTCCAGGCATTTCCCACTGGAGATGGGAAAGCAGTTCTTGTGATTTAGGGATGACATGAGCATTCTCCAAGGTCTTGTGTTGGTTGATACATAGCTGGTAAAGGATAAAAAGAAGGTATGTGAGGAGGAGTTGGAGGAACTGCAGACATTAATTTTGGAGAAAAAGAGGGCTGAACTTCTACAGTTACCTGAAAGGAAACCATAATTTCAGTTTACTCTGGCAAAGACTTGTGAATTGTAATGTGAGGAGTATTTTCCTTCCCACTACTCTGCAGTGTCATGTCCTGCTCTTGAGGCAGTGCCCATCTGTCCTTGGTGGCAGCTTTTAAGTGTGAGTCGGTATTTGGTGGATATTCTTAGAAGGTACATGTCAAAAAAAACAGACTATACAACAAAAGCTGAGGAAAAGTAAGGGTGTCATCAGTGAAGTCATTTTGTGGCAGTAGCATTGTTTAGTTTGTGGGTGTGTTGTGAAGAGGGGCCCCATTCCATCTCAGCCATGTCAGGCTGGTCTGGGCTTTGCAACTGTGCCATGCATGAGGAGCTGCCCCTTCCATTGTGGTCATTCTTCCTTTAAAGTGTGAGTGTTTGAGAGCGAAGTCTGGTGTTGATGGTGAGTGTCAAAGGCACTGAAGACGTGACCAATATTTGGAGAGGTGTGGTGTCATCAGTGCGGTCACTCCATGGAACTCATGGTTATGGGTTTACAGATGTGTTGTGAAGAGGGGCTCCAAACTATCCAAGGACAGTCAGGCTGCTTTGGGCTCTGCATCTGTGCCAGGTGTGAGTACCTGTAGTCTTCCATTCCATGTGAGCAGTGGGAGAGTTGCGTTGTCAGCAAGTTGGCAGATGGTGGAGTGTCTGATGTCACACTTGGCTGTGCTGCCAGGCAGAGGAGTCTGGAGTCTAGGGCTGAAAGGAACCTCCTGTATTTCAAGAACAGGAAAGGTGAAGTTCTGTATCTGGGCAGAAATGGCATTGGGCCTCAGGTCATGCTGTGGACTGATAGACTGGAAAGCGGCTGGTGGAGAGCACTGAAACCACAAAGTTGCAGTAGAACTTGACTTCAAAGGATGTCCCCAGTGTCCAAGGCAGATTTCTGAAAACTGTTGCCATGAAGTTGTTAGAGGTGGCCGTTCCATCTCTTTAGAGCACTGGTGAGATCCCATGTGGAGTGGTGTGGGCAGTTCTGGCCCCCACAGGTAAAGAAGCACAAAAGTGGGGGGTGAAAAAAGACCAGTTGAGGGCCACCAAATATTCAAGGACTGGAGAATGTTTGCTAGAGGAGAGACTGAGAGAGCTGGGATTCTGAGGAGACAAGGATGGGCAGGGGGATGTCAGGAGTTTGTGGTAGAAAACCTGTTCTCAGCAGAGCCCGCATGGAGGAAAAGGGGGCAGGGGCACAAATGAAAATGGATGGAATTCTCTGGGCAAAGGAAGCAAGAATTTTTCAGTGTGCGTGCATGGCTACAGAGTGTAATGAACAATGGGGTTCCTTTTCTATGATGTCCAAAACTGCACTGGCCACACTCCTGGAAACCCTACTCTTGCTGGGACTGCCTGAGCAAGGGGGATGGAAGCATTTGCACTCTGGAGTTGCTGCCCAAGAACATGATGTTATTGATCTGTTTGCAGGGAAGACTCAAGAGTGCTGCTGGGAAGAGAATGTTTCAAGTGCGTGCTATAATTGTGTGATTTTGGCAGAGCAGTGCCCAGGAGAGACACATTGTTGTGTCAAGGTGTTTGGTGTATCAGGTGATGGGCTTGTGTCCTGTTCTGGAAGGTCCCCCTGTCCTCTATTTCCTGTGTCCGTGTCGGTTGTTACTGTTGGTGAGATATTTGCTAAGAATGGTTCTTTCCTACTTTTATGTCCATCATAATGTTTGAGTGCTGGCATTGCACATGATGATGATGTGAGATCATTTGAATTCCAAAAAAAAGAGGAGGCAACTCAGATTCTGATGCAAGGAAAATTTATTGAAATGAAAGAATGATGGGAAAGAGGAAGCTGAAGGAATTGGGTGTGAGGTACCAGAAGAGCGACCATCAGCCCAGGTGCTTCTTGCAGGAGATATTGTCACCACACTGAGCTGGTGATGTCAGGGGTGTTGCCAAGGTCCCTTAGCAGATGTAGCCACCCCTTCTGCCATAGCAGCCCAGGCCTCCCAGTCCATAGCCAAGGCCAAAGCCAAAGCCACCAGAGATGGGCTGTCCCTGGGCATTGAGTTCGCTACCAACGGCAGCCGAGGAGGTGGATCCGACGACGGTGTTCTGGGGGAAGGAGGTCATGATGGGTCCTGGCATGGTGACCAGCACAGGGGAAGGGTTGATGATGACGCTGGAGTTCTGGCATTGCAGGGCACAGGGCTCGTTGCAGCTGTTGGCCAGCGGGGTGGGTCCGCAGGGTTGGCAGAGGTTGTTGCAGGCCATGGTTGTGGTGTAGAGGATTCCTGGAGGAGAGGGGAGTGAGAATGGACAGGGGTGTGGGGTGCGGGGTGGAGATGTGTCAGCATGTTGAGAGAGTGTGGTGGCTGTTTTAGGGCTGTGAGGAGGCGTGAGGGCTGCTGAGGCTGGGGATGAGCATGCAGGAAGAGAAGGGCATGAGGTGCAGGAGCAGGAGGCTCAGGGGTTTTAGGCTCACCTGGTTGTCAGCAGGAGCAGAAGGCGTGAGGAGAAGTGTGTGAGGGACAGAGGTGCTTTGCTGGCTTTTATGTTGGTTCTGGAGGGGTGGGACAACCTTGTCCTGTGGCCTTGGGGCATTTTGCAGGTAACATTTCCTGGCTGTCTCAGAATGATGGGTCATGTGGTGGGGAGTGTTTTCCATCCCACAACTCTGCAGTGTCATGTCCTGCTTTTGAGTCCGTGTCCATCTGACCTTGACGGCAGCTTTTAAATGCAAGTATTAGAGACCAAATGCTGTTGATGATGATGTTTTTTGTGGACGGCTGTGGACATGACCAGAGCTTTGGCGAGTGAGGTGTCATGAGTGAAGTCACCCCATGGCCCTGGTGTGCTGTGGTTTGTGGGTGTCTTGTGGAGAGGGTCCTCATTCCCCAAAAGCCAAGTCAGGTTCATCTAGGCTTTGGAGATCTTTTGTGAGTGACAGATGTCCTTTTCTATCTCATTCTCTCGTTCCCTATCCTGTTGGCAACTTTCTAAATTCGGCTCTATGCCAGGCCTTTCCTACTGGATATAGGAAAACAATCCCTGTGACGCCTCCCCGGCTGTCCAATGGCTTGTGTTGTTTCATCCATAGAGAGGGTCTCATTTGGGCCCTGCAAGGTGAGACTGAGGGATCCCATTGGTGGGCACTGAGTGAAAATGTGTAGGGTAAAGTGGCGTTGGATAAGAATAAGACATGTGAGGAGCAGTTGGAGACACTGCAGATATTCACTTTTGAGAAAAATGGGGTTGAACTTGTTATTCCCTACAGGAACCTGAAAAGAAATTCTAACCTTAGTTTTGACTAGCATAGATTTGTGAATCATGATGTGGGGAGTGTTTTCCTCACCACAGCTGTACAGTGTCATGTCCTGCTCTTGAGGCCATGTCCATCTGACTTTGGCGGTTGCTTTTAAGTGAGAGTTGCTATTTGGGATGATTTGCTTGGAAGGTGCATGTCAGAGAAACCAGAATATACAACAAAACCCGAGTAAAAGTACATGTGTCGTCATTGAGGTCATTTTGTGGCAGGAGTGTGGTTTAGTTTGTGGGTGTGTTGTGCAGAGGGGCCCCATTCCACTGCAGCCATGTCAGGCTGGTCTGGGCTTTGCAACTGTGCCGTGCATGAGGAGCTGCCCCTTCCATTGCGGTCATTCTTCCTTTAAAGTGTGAGTGTTTGAGAGCAAAGTCTGGTGTTTTCAAAGATGATGAGTGTCAAAGGGGACTGAAGACGTGACCAATATTTGGAGAGGTGCAGTGTCATCAGTGAGATCAACATGATGGAACTCATTGTTATGGGTTTACGGATGTGTTGTGAAGAGGAGCCGCAAACTATCCCAGGTTGGCCAGGCTGTTCCTGGCTTTCTATCTGTGCCAGGTGTGAGCACCTGGACTCTTCCGTTCCATGCGGGCAGTGGGAGAGTTGCCTCCTCAGCAAGTTGGCAGATGGTGGAGTGGCTGAGGCACTACTTGGTCATTCCACCAGTCAGATGTGTCTGGGGTCTCATGGTGAAAGGAATCTCCTGCATTTCAAGATCAGAATAGGTGAAATTCTGCATCTGGGCAGGAATGGCATTGGGCTCTGGATCATGCTGTTGACCGAGAGAGTGGAAAGCAGCTGTTGGAGAACACAGAAATCACAAGGTCACAGTGCAGCTTTATTTCAAAGGATGTCAGCCATCCTCCAAGACAGAATTCTGAAACTTGTTGTCATGAATTTGAGAGAAGTGGCTGTTCCTCTCTTTAGAGCACTGGTGAGATCCCATGTGGAGTGGTGTGGACAGTTCAGACCTCCACAGGTGAAGAAGCACAAAAGTGGGTGGTGAAGGAAGACCGTTTGGTGGCCACCAGAGACCATTTGGGGGCCACCAGATAGTGCCAGGGCTGGAGAATGTTTGCTAGAGGAGAGACTGAGAGAGCTGGGATTCTGAAGAGACAAAGATGGGCAGGGGGATGTCAGGAGTTTGTGAGGGCCCAGCTGTTCTCAGCAATGCGTATCTTAAATGAAAGAGGGTGAAGGCAAAAATGAAAGTGGATGGAATTTCCTGGGCAAAGGAGGCAAGAATATTTCAGTGTGTGGATGGTCACAGAGTGTAAGAGACAACAGGGTCTCTTTTCTTCAATGTCCAAAACTGCACTGGCCACACTCCTGGAAACCCTACTCTTACTTGAGGCTGGTTGAGGAAGGGGGCTGGAATCATATGCACTCTGCAGATGCTGCCCAAGTGCATGATGTTATTGCCCTGTTTGCTGGGAGGACTCAAGAGTGCAGCTGGGAAGAGAATATTTCAAGTGTGTGCTGGCATGGAGTGATTTTGGCAGAGCAGTGCCCAGGAGAGAATTGTTGTGTCAAAGATTTTGGTGTATCAGGTGATGGGCTTGTGTCATGTTCTGGAAGGTCCCCCGTTGTCATCCTTTTATATCCATCATAATGGTTGAGTGCTGGCATTGCTCACAGTGGGGATGTGAGATCATTGGAATTCCAAAAGAAGAGGAGGCAACTCAGGTTCTGATGCAAGAAAAATTTATTGAGGTTAATAGAATGATGAGAAAGAAGAAGCTGAAGGAATTGGGTGTGAGGTACCATTAGACTGACCATCAGCCCAGGTGCTTTGCTTGCAGGAGATGTTGCCAGAACTGAAAGCTGGGGTGTCAGGGGTGGTGCTGAGGTCCCTTAGCAGATGTAGCCACCCCTTCTGCCATAGCAGCCCAGGCCTCCCAGCCCATAGCCAAGGCCAAAGCCAAAGCCACCAGAGATGGGCTGTCCCTGGGCATTGAGTTCGCTACCAACAGCAGCCGAGGAGGTGGATCCGACGACGGTGTTCTGGGGGAAGGAGGTCATGATGGGTCCTGGCATGGTGACCAGCACAGGGGAAGGGTTGATGATGACGCTGGAGTTCTGGCATTGCAGGGCACAGGGCTCGTTGCAGCTGTTGGCCAGTGGGGTGGGTCCGCAGGGACGGCAGGAGTCGTAGCAGGCCATGGGTGTGGTGTGGAGGGTCCCTGGAAGAGAGGGGATGAGGCAGGGCAGGGGTGAGGGATGCAAGGGGTGGAGATGTGTTAGCATGTTGAGAGAGTGTGGAGGCTGTTGTGGGGCTGTGGAGAGGTGTGAAGGCTGCTGAGGCTGGGGCCAAGCATGCTCAAAGAGAGGGCCCAGGGGTGCAGGAGCAGGAGGCTCAGGGGTTTGATTCTCACCTGGTTGTCAACAGGAGCAGAAGTCGTGAGGAGAAGTGTGTGAGGGACAGAGACTCTGGGCTGGCTTTTATGCTGGTTCTGGAGGGGTGGGACAGCCTTGTCCCTTGGCCTTGGGGCATTTTGCAGGTAGCATTTCCTGGCTGTCTCAGAATGATGGGTCATGTGGTGGGGAGTGTTTTCCATCCCACAACTCTGCACTGTCATGTCCTTCTTTTGAGTCCGTGTCCATCTGACCTTGGCGGCAGCTTTTAAATGCAAGTATTAGAGACTAAAGGCTGTTGATGATTATGTTTTTTGTGGAGGGCTGTGGACATGACCAGAGCTTTAGACAGGGAGATGTCATCAGTGAAGTCACCCATGGCCCTGGTGTGCTGTGGTTTGTGGGTGTCTTGTGGAGAGGGTCCTCATTCCCCAAAAGCCAAGTCAAGCTCCTCTGGGCTTTGGGGCTCTTCTGCTGTTGACTGATTTCCTTTTCCATCACATCCTCTCCCTTCCTATCCTGTTGGCAACATTCTAAATCCAGCTATATGCCAGGCCTTTCCTGCTGGATATGGGAACACAATCCCTTTGACGCCTCCCCTGCTGTCTCAGATGTCTTGTGTTGGTTCATCCGTAGCGAGGGTCTCAGCTGAGCCCTGCAAGGTCAGACTGAGGCATTCCATTTCTGGGCTCTGAGTGAAATCTGGAGATGAAATGTGGTGCAGAATAAGAAGACGACTTGTGAGGAGCACTTGGAGGAACTGCTGAAATGCACTTTTGAGAAAATGAGGGTTGAACTTGTTACTCCTCACAGGTGCCTGACCAGAAATTGTAATTTTGGTTTTGACAAGCATTGGTTTGTGATTTGTCATGTGGGGAGCGTCTTTCTCACCACAATGCTTCACTGTCATTTCCTGCTCTTAAGGCAATGTCCATCTGTCCTTGGTGGCAGCTTTTAAGTGTGAGTTGGTATTTGGGAGGGTTTGCTAGGATGGTGCATTTCAGAGAAATCAGAATATACAACAAAACCCGAGTAAAAGTAAGTGTGTCATCATGGAGGTCATTTTGTGGCAGTAGTGTGGTTTAGTTTGTGGGTGTGTTGTGAAGAGGGGCCCCATTCCATCTCAGCCATGTCAGGCTGGTCTGGGCTTTGCAGCTGTGCCATGAATGAGGAGCCGCCCCTTCCATTGCGGCAATTTTTCTTTTAAAGTGTGAGTGTTTGAGAGCAAAGTCTGGTGTTGATGACCAATATTCGGAGAGGTGCAGTGTCATCAGTGAGGTCAATGTGTGCAACTGACGTTTTTGGTTTTATCTGTGTGTTGTGGAGAGAGGCCCCAAACTCTCCAGGTCGGTGAGGCTGGTTCAGGCTTTGCATCTGTGCCAGGTATGAGCACCTGGAGTCTTCCATTCCATGTGAGCAGTGGGAGAGTTGCCTCCTCAGCAAGCTGGCAGATGGTGGAGTGTCTGAGGCACCACTTGGTCATTCCACCAGTCAGATGTGTCTGGAGTCAAAGGGTGAATGGAATCCCCTGCATTTCAAGAGTGGAAAGTGTGAAGTTCTGCATCTGGACAGGAATGGGACTGGGCCCCTGGGCGTGCTGTGGATTGAGAGGCTGGAAATTGGCTGCTGGAGAATAAAGAAACCAGAAGGTCTCAGTGGAGCTTTTCTTCAAAGGACATCCTCCATTTCTAAGACCGAATTCTGGAAATTGTTGCCATGAAGTTGTTAGAGGTGGCCGTTCCTTTCCTTAGAGACCTGGTGAGATCCCATGTGGGGTGGTGTGGACAGTTCTGGCCTCCACAGGTGAAGAAGCACAAACGTGGATGGTGAACAAAGACTGGTTGAGGGCCACCAAATATGCAAGGGCTGGAGAATGTTTGCTAGAGGAGAGACTGAGAGAGCTAGGATTCTGAGGAGACAAGGATGGGCAGGGGAACGTCAGGAGTTTGTGAGAGCCCAGCTGTTCTCAGCAGTGCCTGCATGGAGGAAAACCGGGAGCAGGTGCAAAATGATAATGGATGGAATTCCCTTGGCAAAGGAGGCAAGAATTTTTCAGTGTGTGTGTATGGTCACAGAGCGTAAGAGACAATGAGGTTCATTTCATTTGATGTCCAAAACAGAACTGGCCTCAGTCCTGGAAACCCTACTCTTGCTGGGCCTGCCTGAGCAAGGGGGATGGAAGCATTTGCCCTCTGGAGTTGCTGCCCAAGTGCGTGATGTTATTGCCCTGTTTGCTGGGAGGACTCAAGAGTGCAGCTGGGAAGAGAATATTTCAAGTGTGTGCTGGCATGGAGTGATTTTGGCAGAGCAGTGCCCAGGAGAGAATTGTTGTGTCAAAGCCTTTGGTGTATCAGGTGATGGGCTTGTGTCCTGTTCTGGAAGGTCCCCCCTTGTCCTCTGTTCCCTGTGTCAGTGTTGGTTGTTACTGGTGGGGAGATATTTACTAAGAACCATCCTTTCCTCTTTTTATATCCGTCATATTGCTTGAGTGCTGGCATTGCTCATCGTGAGGATGTGAGATCATTGGAATTCCAAAAAAAGAGGAGGCAACTCAGGTTTTGATGCGAGAAGAATTTATTGAAGTGAAAGAATGCTAAGAAAGAAGAAGCTGAAGGAATTGGGTGTGAGGTACCATTAGAGCGACCATCAGCCCAGGTGCTTCTTGCAGGAGATATTGTCACCACACTGAGCTGGTGGTGTCAAGAGTGATGCTGAAGTCCCTTAGCAGATGTAACCGCCCCTTCTGCCATAGCAGCCCAGGCCTCCCAGTCCATAGCCAAGGCCAAAGCCAAAGCCACCCGAGATGGGCTGTCCCTGGGCATTGAGTTCACTGCCAACGGCAGCCGAGGAGGTGGATCCGACGACGGTGTTCTGGGGGAAGGAGGTCATGATGGGTCCTGGCATGGTGACCAGCACAGGAGAAGGGTTGATGATGACGCGGGAATCCTGGCATTGCAGGGCACAGGGCTCGTTGCAGCTGTTAGCCAGCGGGGTGGGTCCGCAGGGACGGCAGGAGTTGTAGCAGGCCATGGGTGTGGTGTGGAGGATTCCTGGAAGAGAGGGGAGTGAGAAAGGACAGGAGTGCGGGGTGCAAGGGGAGATGTGTCAGCAGGTTGAGAGAGTGTGGAGGCTGTTGTGGGGCTGTGAGAAGGCGTGAGGGCTGCTGAGGCTGGGGCTGAGTGTGCTGGAAGAGAGGGCCCAGGGGTGCAGGAGAAGGAGAATCAGGGGTTTTAGGCTCACCTGGTTGTCAGCAGGAGCAGAAGGTGTGAGGAGATGTGTGTGAGGGACAGAGGTGCTTGGCTGGCTTTTATGTTGGTTCTGAAGGGGTGGGACAGCCTTGTCCCTTGGCCTTGGGGCATTTTACAGGCTTCAGTTCCTGGCTGTTTCAGAATGATGGATCATGTGGTGGGGAGTGTTTTCCATCCCACAACTCTGCACTGTCATGTCCTGCTTTTGAGTCCGTGTCCATCTGACCTTGGCGGCAGCTTTTAAATGCAAGTATTAGAGACCAAAGACTGTTGATGATGATGTTTTTTGTGGAGGGCTGTAGACGTGAGCAGAGCTTTGGAGAGTGAGGTGTGATCAGTCACCCCATGGCCCTGGTGTGCTGTGGTTTGTAGGTGTCTTGTGGAGAGGGTCCTCATTCCCCAAAAGCCAAGTCAAGCTCCTCTGGCCTTTGGGGCTCATTGGGAGTGACAGATGTCCCCTTCCATGACATTCTCTCCCTCCCTATCCTGTTGCCAACTTTCTAATCCTGTCTTTATGCCTTGTCTTTCCTGCTGGATATGGGAAAACAATCCCTGTGACGCCTCCCCTGCTGTCCAATGGCTTGTGTTGGTTCTTCCATGGCGAGGGTCTCGTTTGGACCCTGCTAAGTCAAACTGAGGGATCCCATTGGTGGGCTCTGAGTGAAATCTAGTAAGGGAAAGTGGTGCAGGATCAGAAGACATGTGAGGAGCTCTTGGAGGAACTGTAGACATTAACTTTAGAGAAAAAGAGGGTTGAACCTGTTACTCCTCACAGGTGCCTGACCAGAAATTGTAATTTTGGTTTTGACTAGCATTGGTTTGTGTTTTGTCATGTGGGGAGCGTCTTTCTCACCACAATGCTTCACTGTCATTTCCTGCTCTTAAGGCAATGTCAATCCGACTTTGTTGGCAGCTTTTAAGTGAGAGTTGCTATTTGGGAGGGTTTGCTCGTAAGGTGCATGTCAGAGAAACCAGAATATACAACAAAACCCGAGTAAAAGTTAGTGTGTCATCATGGAGGTCATTTTGTGGCAGTAGTGTGGTTTAGTTTGTGGGTGTGTTGTGCAGAGGGGCCCCATTCCTTCGCAGCCATGTCAGGCTGGTCTGGGCTTTGCAGCTGTGCCTGCCCGTTTCCATTGAGGTAATTTTTCCTTTAAAGTGTGAGTGTTTGAGAGCCAAGTCTGGTGTTGATGATGGGTGTCATAGGGGACTTAAGTCATGACCAATATTCGGAGAGGTTCAGTGTCATCAGTGAGGTCAATGTGTGCAACTGACGTTTTTGGTTTTATCTGTGTGTTGTGGAGAGAGGCCCCAAACTATCCCAGGTCGGTGAGGCTGGTTCAGGCTTTGCATCTGTGCCAGGTATGAGCACCTGGAGTCTTCCATTCCATGTGAGCAGTGGGAGAGTTGCCTCCTCAGCAAGTTGGTGGATGGTGGAGTGTCTGAGGCACCACTTGGTCATTCCACCAGTCAGATGTGTCTGGAGTCAAAGGGTGAATGGAATCCCCTGCATTTCAAGAGTGGAAAGTGTGAAGTTCTGCATCTGGACAGGAATGGGATTGGGCCCCAGTTCGTGCTGTGGATTGAGAGACTGGAAAGTGTTTGCTGGAGAATAAAGAAACCAGAAGCTCTCAGTGGAGATTTTCTTCAAAAGATATCTCCTGTTTCTAAGACCGAATTCTGGAAACTGTTGCCATGAAGTTGTTAGAGGTGGTCATTCCTCTCTTTAGAGCACTGGGTAGATCCCATGTGGAGTGCTGTGGACAGTTCACACCTCCATAGGCAAAGAAGCACAAAAGTGCTGGGTTTCTGAAGAGTCAAGGATGGGCAGGGGGATGTCAGGAGTTTGTGAGAGCCCAGCTGTTCTCAGCACTGCTCACATGAAGGAAAAGGGGGCAGGTGCAAAATGAAAATGGATGCAATTCCCTGGGCAAAGGAGGCAAGAAGTTTTCAATGTCTGTGGATAATCACCGAATGTAAGAGAGAACGGGATCCATTTTTTTTGGAGGTCCAAAACTGCACTGGCTACAGTCCTGTTAACCCTACTCTTGCTTGAGGCTGCCTGAGGAAGGGGGATGGGAGCATTTACGCACTGGAGTTGCTGCCCATTTGCGTGATGTTATTGCCCTGTTTGCTGGGAGGACTCAAGAGTGCTGCTGGGAAGAGGATGTTTCAAAGTGGGTGCTGTCATGGAGTGAATTTGGCAGAGCAGTTCACAGAAGGGAATTGTGTCAAAGCCTTTGGTGTATCAGGTGATGGGCTTGTGTCCTGTTCTGGAAGGTTACCTCTCTCCTCTATTTCCTGTGTCCGTGTCGGTTGTTACTATTGGGGAGGTATTTACTAAGAATGAGTCTTTCCTCCTTTTATATCCATCATAATAGTTGAGTGCTGGCATTACACACTGTGAGGATGTGAGTTCATTGGAATTCCAAAAAAACAAGGAGGCAACTCAGGTTCTGATGCAAGGCAAATTTATTGAAGTGAAAGAATGATGAGAAAGAAGAAGCTG